CTCGAGCGTCAGTTTGTTCCAGTTACAAATAATGTCCTACTTATTGAAATTCCCTTTGTGAAGTCGAAATTGTTCTTCGTATTCTCTGCAAATCCTGCAAAACCTTTCTTGATAGCTACGTTGTGCCAGCTGTTGCTGTAAAGGTTTAAGTTACTCTACTAAACAGTTCGATATCGCATGTGAAGTTGAGGTGCGCATCTCCATAATTGGACGACATGGCAAGCGAAGTGGTTTGCAGAGAAACGAAAATCTCTACAGCATCAGCTAGCACCAAGCAGCTATCGACACACTTCCGAATCTATAGTGACGTCGAAGACGTGAACCTATGCGACATGAGAATGCTCCCACTAGACGTCTCGTCGCTGTTTATAAATGTATCGGTTACCGAGATAGTCGATTGCATTTGCGAATACCTATTGACAAATCAGCTGGAAATAGGAATGCGGACAAATGCACTGAAGGAACTGTTGCTAAGATGCACAGTAAATATGCAGTTCCTTATTGACAGCCAGTTATATAGACAGATAGACGGCTTTGCTATTGGCTCGCCTCTTGGATCTCTGCTAGCTGACATGGGCAAGCTGGAGAAATCTCAAATAAGCGATCAGATGCACAAGTTAAAACACTATAATCACTACATTGTTGACATCTTCGCGGTCGCCACAAGCGAAACCAATGTATACGCACACTCAAATGCTGTCAACCAAGTACATCCGTTCATTAAGTTCATGTTGTAGGTGGAAACGGAAGGTACGCTTGCCTTCTTGGAACGCGGCATGTGAACTGCTGAAAAGAATTATTGACCGAGCGGTTTCACGACCCGTCTCAGCAGCTAGATTTCGAGTATTATTGTAAATTAATCCAATCTTACTTGGAAAAGGTAAGAATAGGTTACCAATTCAGACCACCTCCATGTGAATGTACACCTTTACTTACCCCTGCAGCGTAGGTTATATAGGTCGCACGAGTCGACTGTTTTCGCTGTCTATGTTTGTGATGACGACTCCGCGACGGATCTCGAAACCTCAGGCAATTAAAAGTATAGTCTCAGCAATCGAGTCGTATTATAAAAAAATATTTGATTGTCTAAAACAGAATTTGAGTGTCGGACGAGCGTACGTCTGTGACCGAGGGGGAAAGCATTCGAAGTGTGTCAGCTTGACATTTATCACAGCCTCCACATAGTGGTTTTTGCGTGATTCGGCCTTGTAGTTGACTGGCCAGGACGGAAGAAGCAGTCACCAGTGCATTTGTACTTGCTAGCAGCCGCCTGAGGCAAGCATCCGCGCAGATTGGGCCATTTGAAAGGTTGATTAGGAATTACGATCACATGACCTCATGTCTCGTGTGCCATGGGAAATAGCCTCATTAAAATTTCTTTACCGTGATGTTAACTGCCCTCATCATGTTGGCGGTGCAGAAGCAGCGTAATAACGTTCCTATGAAATGTTACCACACAAATTTGGAGATGATAAAAAATGGAAGTTTGCTTCTTTTTGCCGTCAGTAGACAACAGTTTGTAATCAGTAGGTCAAGGAATCCTGAAAACTGCGTACCAGGTGCTTGATAGCAGTCTATGAAGTCTCCAGATTGGAGCTCGAAGCCAGTTAGGTATGCGCCATTTGCCTTCCATCAGGATATACTTGTAGGCGCCGAGGTTGCACGCGATACTACTATTTGAGGTGGGAGAGGTGAATAGAGACACTTTCCGGAAAAATAGAGTAAAAACAAATCTAAAACGGCGTTTCCTGTTCACGCGTCTAACCGACGTAAATTTCCAGGGTCTATCTCGTCTCGGCAACATCTGGAACCTGAGTACCAGTTTTTTCATGACAGTCCATGAAGTCTCCAGATTGGAGCTTGATGCCAGTAAGGTATAAGGATATATTGGTAGGCGCCGTGGTAGCACGCGGCAGAGGCGAATAGACACTGCTTCCGAAAAACACACGTATTACGGGGTTCCCTATTCACGCGTCTAACCGACGCTTCTGAAATCAGAAACGTAAATTTCCAGGGTGTATCTCCGTTAGCCTCTTTATTGCATGCATTGCATTTTAGTATATATCACCTGTCAATGCCAACCATGTTTATGTTTCTACCGTTTCAGGAACAATGCTCTAGAAAGAGCAAGCAAACTTCGCGCCCTGGCGGCACAAACCGGCAAGCCGGAAAATGTCCTGCAGGGTGCCATTGCGTACTTACTCAATCAGGGATACGACGAAGATAGTGTTTTCGATGCCTTGATGGAATCAAACGGTGACAGAGAGCTGGCTGAAGATCTGTGCGCTGTGCCAGACTTCCCGTAAGAACACTCACTTCCCCAACGGCAAATTCCGTTTTAATACTTCCCTTAACTGCTTAATAAATTCATTCAAGAAATGTTTGTTGCCTGCGATGATGTCCTCCCATTGGGATTGGAGCTTCACCTTTCAATAGTCAACATATTTAACTAGCTGGCATCTAGTTTTTTTAGTTTGTTGTAGATAAATGGGATGAGTAAGACCTCTCATTAAAGGAGAGGAAATTCGGCCTGTATTTTACAAAGACCACCTAGTAAATAAACGCTTATTCTGAGTTTTTTTCGGTCCGTGGAAGTGTTTAATTGGAATCCTACAAGCACTTCTCTACTATTACCTATTCCTAGCTGGTTTGCTAACCTTATAAAGTGATTGTTTATCTTTGGGATGGGCGTGATTTACTGCATACGATTTTCACTGATGACTGTCGGGATATAAGTTCAATTCAATTAAATTGAGTTTTGTTAGGGACGACGATGGAAAAATTGCAGCCGCTGCCTTTCACGTTGCCGGTAGTGCGAATAATTCGAAACGTTTCCATTCGAACTTATATGGCCATGCCGGAGAAAGTTATATGTCTAAAAATATT